AGCTTCTGTGCAGCTCAGAGAGCTCAGGAGCAGTGGGTTTGCTTTTTTTGACCTCTGGACAACCTACCTCATGGAAAAAGATCTCCCAAGGACTTGTGCCGCGCTGCCAAACAGGCAGATAAGATTAGCCTAAACTTAAATGCTTATGACTTCTTCCTCCGCCAAACACCCAAAAGGTTGCAAGGAACTTTTGAGTCTGTGTTTTTAAAGCCACACTGCACTCATTTTGGGGACTACCTTCTTGCCTACCTGCTCATGAGTGTGTCAAGGACCACAGGCTGAGAAACTGTGGTAGGAGATGGGGGAGAGGACACAAGGCTCTGTCCCAGTCCTCAACTTCATACCTAACCCCTCCACAGACTGGAACAACTGGTTTAGCATGTGGCTGTTGCCATTGGAAGGGAGGTAAACAGCTTGTCCAGCACTCTCAGGTCAGCAAGTTCTCCTTGGCAAAGGGAAAATGGCTTCTTAATGCAACATGGAGGTGATTCAGAGCACTAACTACAGAATCAAACTCAGCAGGGCGCACTCACCAGAAGTATTCGCTGCACAGCAGTGCTGTGAGGCACTGGGGAACCTCAGCTTGCTAGAACACAAGTCCAGTAGTTTATATCACCTCACTCACACTCTGCTTAGCTTTCCAAAACAATACCAGAAATAATTCCACAGCAGCTTCAGGAGGGAAGGATCAGGACAGCAAATATGGCTGTGGCTGATGGAAAACAGTGGCAGAGCTCTCTGGATCTGCTCAGAGTGAATCAGAGTGTGTCAGGGGGTTGGAATGGACATAAAGATCATCCAGTGCCAAACCCCTGCCCTGGGCAGGGACACCTCCCACCAGAGCAGGTTGCTCAAGGCTTTAGCCAACATGGCCTTGTTTGAATGAATAATGGAATACAGGGAATGGTTTGGGCTGGAATGGACCTTACAGATCACCTAGTCCCAACCCCCTGCCCTGGGCAGGGACACTAATCAAGTTGCTCAAGGCTTTATCCAACCTGGAATGAACAGTGCCAGGGAATCACTGAGCTCCTTGGAAGGGGAAAAGCATTACCCACAAGCAGAACCAGCACAAAGCAACTCCCTGCTATCAGTCAATCTCGTGGCTGAGGTGCACCATCCATCACCTGATGCCCAAGTTTCAGACTGGCACAGAAGGCAGTGAATTGGTGCCAAGTCAGGCTGCAAACACCTCCCCCACGTTGTCAGTGTGTTCCCATTCCCTGCCTGGCGCAGGGAATCTGCGGAGTTGTGCGTCAGAGCCGTGTGGGGACAGGGGAGGCAAATTACCTTCATGGGTCTCATCTTTCCCCTCAGACAAAGCTGAGTGTGTTGGAAAGAAGAAGCATTTTCACATCACTTATAGGTCAGAGTAAGGATCAACATACAGAACGAAGAACAAGCCAAGAGTGGTCACAGGTGATAAGTGACTCATGAAATTCTAAGCGGCAAAACGTGAGGCAGTGCAAAACCTGAGGCAATGCAGAGGAGCTCAGAGTGCAAATAGCAGCTGCAGGTCCAGAGGAACATTAAGGAGGAATCTGTTAAATCCTGGCTGGAGCTAAATATTCCTTCAGTCCTGTAGCAGCTGCCACAATGCCTTGTGGTATACACAGAGCCACACACTTCCATATGTTCTGTGTACACACGAGGCAACTTTGCTTGGCAAAACACATAGGAGAAAGGTGCAATAGAAATGAAAGACATCTGCAGGTAACTGGATATAAATATACAGAAGTTATTTGAGAAATTAAGGCTCTTGAGCATACTGTATGCAAACCTTGCAGCTGTGAGGATTAAGCAACTCGGTGCTGGACTGATATTTCTGCAGGTTTTTGCAATAAAATGAATTCCACAGTGGTTCCAAGCTCTCAAGTTCAGAGGTTTCCACTGCTCCTGGATCTGGACATCTACACTCTGCAATCCTCTCATTCCCATGTTTATGGCATCAAAGGGAGTTAATCTGCAGCTCTTGGCAGACTCAGACTGATTCAAAACACATCAAATTCACACCAAGTCTTCTCGTGACTTGGGAGGTCCAAACGGTACTCTGAGTACTTCCCAACTCTCCTTTGCAAAAGCAGGAACAGACCAGGCAGAATGTTCTCCTGGAGATATTAAAGTGCCTGAGGGGAGGGAAGACGTGTACCCCAGGTGACCTTCTGTCCACTGGGCACTGACCTGCTGGGGAGCAGCTCTGTGGAGAGGAGCTGGGAGGGTCCTGGTGGACAACAAGCTGTCCATGAGTCAGCCACCCGGTGGACTTGTGGCTAAGAGGCCAATGGAATCCTGGCATGCATTGGGAACAGCATTGCCAGCAGGTCACAGAGATGATCCTGACACTGGAGTCAGGACACCTGGAGTGTTGTGTCCAGGTCTGGGATCCTCAGGACCAGAGGGACATGGAGCTCCTAGAGCAGGTCCAGGGGAGGGCAAGGAAGATGCTGAAGGGGCTGGAGCACCTCAGGGATGAGGAAAGGCTGAGGGAGTTGGGGCTGTTCAGCCTCGAGAAGAGACAACTCAGAGGGACCTCAGCAATTGTCTCTATGGATCTGAAGGAGATGCTAAGAGGATGATCAGACTCTGCTCAGTGCTGCAAACAATAAAACAAGAGGTAACAGCAAAAACTGATGCCCAGAAAGTTCCACCTGAACATGAGGAAAAACTTCTTCCCTATGCAGTCCCTGAGCACTGAACAGATTGTCCAGAGAGGTCGTGGATTCTCCTCACTGGAGACATTCCAGAAACACCTGGACACAACCCTGAGCCATGTGCCCTAGGCTGACCCTGCTCAAGTAGGGAGGTTGGCCCAGATGACCCACTGTGGTCCTTTCCAGTCTGACTGATTCCAGGAAAGGTCAGGATCTCATTTCTGAGCTTGTGAATGCTCCCAGTTCAGCTGGGATGAAGCTCTGCCCTGGAGATATCTGCAATGCCCAAACCAGTGCTATCAGCCTCCCTCCAGAGCAGGAGAGCAGATCAGGCAGGCCCAGAGGGAGAGCTGAGATGTCACTCAGCTCTGGCTGCCCAGATAAGCTGGGCTGGGGCAGCAGGAGTGGGAACCAAAGGAAAACAAACATCTTCCTGCAGCCTCTTGGGAGTTTCCCCAGGTCCTAGAGCTCTCTTTGGCACCTCCACTCCCTGAGCACTGCTTTGCTCAGCCAGCACTGACTTTATCCCACCCAGGAGGGAACCTGTGCTTCTTGCAGACAGCAAGGCAGGCCCTGGAGCAAGAAGAAGCTTTTTAGGGAGGGAAAAGGTGATTTTCAGCAAGAACCAGCTTTTGGGGGGAGAAAACAGGTGGTTTCCAGCTACTTGAACAGAGAATCTTAGGATGAGGAATCATGCCATGAGGTCTGATGAGCCTGGGATAAACCATTCACGCAGTGGGTTTAAGGAAGATGATGGGTGGAAAACTGTACTGAAAGGAAGGCAGAAAAATCAACACTTGAAGGGACAAAGCACCAAGTGATTTGAGCAGAAAACAGCTCCCTGCACACCCACCCTGAGCTCACAAGTCCATCCTTGTGCTGTCAGTACTGAAAACACAACTCTGGGCTCAGGTTGCCTTTTCCTCCCATCTAATCCCAACCAGTCTCCAAGCCAAACTACCCAAAGGTCAAACCTACCCTCCTTCCACACAACCAAGCAGAGCCTAAACACAACAGCACTACGAATAAGCAAGAACCAAGCCAAGGTTTGGCTGCATTGGCTTCATCAGCTGCTGGAAATCAAGCTGGGTTTTAATTCCTGATCCATACAGGGAGAACTTCAGGAAAAATCATCTCGAGTAGATAAGCAATTAGTGAGGAAATGAGGTTTTATGTGATTTCCGAGTTGTCTTGAGCTAGCTCAGGTGTTCCAGGCCAGGTTGGATGGGGCTTGGAGCAACCTGGGATAGTGGAAGGTGTCCCTGCCGATGACAGGGGTTGGACTAGATGATCTTTAAGGTCCTTCCAACCCAAACCAGATTGTGATTCTATGATTTAAGATTACCAACATGGCAATGCCCTGATCTGTTCTGGCTTGTGGCCTTTGAGAAGTGGGGAGGGACACACAAATGGCACCAAAGAGCAGACTGTGCATGTCCTAGAGGTTTACAGCAAGTTTCAGAGCTGACTCAAGAGGAAGGAGGAGAAGGTCTGTGCAGAGCTGCAGCAATCCTGGGTTGTTACTCAGCTGGGAGCACATTTCTGTAGTTCAGATAAGGTTTAAACAGCAAAAAACCAAAGGTACAGGACAGCACATAAACAGCATTGCTCCTTCCCAAAAGGCACAGCTCCCAATGGGAACAGGCAGATTATTTCTCACACCACAGAGAGAGATCTGAAATAGAAAATCTCTTAGCCTAAGAGGCTATTTTAAGAGAGCAGCCAAGACTTGTCAGCTCCAAATCAGGATGTTGATGTTGGAAGGGACCCATCCTGTCCAACCCATGTCCACAAGTTTCCACATCAGCTCTGCTCAGGCAGTTTTCTCCATTCCTTGGAATCCTGTGGTGGTTTGAGGCACAAGCACACCCTCCTGACAGAGGAGAGCCATGTCACCAACTCACCAGCACCTATCTCCCAAGCCAGGACAGAGATGCTGGACCTTGAGGCATCTGCTCCAGTTTTTTCAAGCAATAATGGCTGTCTGATTTATCACTTAATTGATTGGAATAGTTTGGAAACCAAAGACATCACAGTTAGGTCCCAAGGGCAAAGATAGACTGGCAACAGCCTGACATTTCCCAATCACATTCCCTATTTGCTCTCAAAGGTGAAACAAGTCTGAGCAGTGTAGCCAGGTGTTATTTTTCTGGTGTTAAGTCCCTGCTTCTAAGTTCTTCTGCATCACCTGGTTCAAGAGGCTTCACCTCTACCTGCACTTCCCTCCCCTTTTGGCCACGAGGTCCCAAAGGTTGGTTCACCCCAAGACCATGAACTTTGCTCATTAGACTACATGGGTCATGCTATATATGAGGTTCCACATTCACTGAGGTGTCCTGCACCTTACCCACCAGTGGATGCACTACTGAAGCCCCGAAGAGATTCAGCTCATCAACACACAAATATGGGACCAAATCACATTTCCAGCTCCTACTCCTTCAGCCTGAAGAGCAAACTCCTCTCTGCTTAGCACCACAAGTCTGAAATCTACAGCAAAACCATTCTGTCAGACTTGAAGTAAAGACCTGATTGCACAGAGTGTTGGTGCCTCTTCACCTGCAGCAACACTGCAAGCAATAACATCTCTCCTGTACAAAGCACACCATGATTTTGAGTGGAAGAAGATTATTCCTTACCTATAGATGGGGATTTGAAAGGGTATTTATCAGGAAGGTCGACTCTAACTTTCCATACTCCACCTTCATATGGTGCTGCAAGGAAAGAAATGAAGGTATTAGGCACTTCAGAGCTCAGGAGAGAATAGCTCTAAGCTATTTAAACAGCTCTCAGCACAACACATCTTTGGAATAATACATGGATCCATCGGGGGGAAGATTTCACAGCAAACCTCCTACAGGAAAAGGCTTTTTCCTCTGCTGCCTGACAAGGAATACATGATTTTAACTGATCTCAGCACAGAGACCCAAGAGCCTCATTAAAAACAGACTTGGGAATAATCTACTTACCTTTGGAGATGTTACTAAATTAAGGCACGCTGGAGATAGGCACTGGAAAAGTCTTTTTAATGACAAGCTCCACAAAAATTCAGGTGACTGATGCCAAACTTGGGTGTGAAAAAGCTAAGGATCAACAGGAGCAGTGCTGAGGGTCACAGCAGAGGGCTGAGCTGTCCAGAGGCAGCAGCCAGCTCTGCCCAGCTCCAAGGGAGGGGATTCAGCTGTGCTCATGGAGTTTTTCTCCCCACCCTTCTGAGAGTGGCTGTCAGACACTGCTCCCCCTTGATGTCTCACCACACCCTAAGATCTGCTCATCTCCTCTTCTACCCCAGAGCAATGTGTCACTGCCCTGCTCCCCACCAGGGTGTTCTCACGGCTGGGGCAGATACTTACTTCCTTGTGGTCCATAAAACTTCACAACAAATTCATTGAGTCCTCCTAAGATTGTGACTTCGTGTTTGCTCTCAATACTGAGGCACCAAGTGAAGGAAAACATTGAGTCCAGGCAAGAAAATCCACTCAGGTACAGGTAACTTGCTCAAAGCCTGTCAACATCAATATTCAACACACTCTACCACATCAGCTTAAGTGTTCTGACACATCCAGGTGACCAAACCACCATAAGCTAATTCTACATCCTGAATCACAGAATCATCAAGGTTGGAAGAGACCTCGAAGATCATCAAGTCCAACCCTTAACGTGTCCCTGCTGTAACCCCTAAACCACACCTTCCAGCACCAAATACAGACACCTCTTCAACACTTTAAGGGATGGTGATTCCACCACCTCCCTGAGATGAATCCCTCCCCTGCACTGAGCAATCTTGGGATTATTCCTCCCTTCCCCTCAGAGCTGCTTGGTGTTTTCCATCTCCTTCTGCACAGCATAAGCTCTGATTTAAGAGGACATCGAGCCCCTATCACTGATGTGTTTGGAAATACATTCGGGCTCCAGAGAGGAGCTAAACATCCATAAGCAGCCACAGCTCCACACACTGCACACAGACAGGAGGCCCAGGGGAAGCTGGGAGGTGAAAGCAGGACTGGGAGGGAGCTCCTTCCTTCCCAGGGCTCAGGACTCAGGAGAGGAGCCACAAAGCACAAAGTCACCTCTGCCAACCACTTGCATCCAATGTTTCCTCCCCAGCCCAGATCAGTGCAGCAGAATTCTCCCTAGTCCCTGCTCTGAGGAATCCCATTCCCTTTGGAGCTGTCAGATGGTCTCCCCCAAGTCCCCAAAACCTCTGTGTCTTGGGAGAGGTGGCAGAAGGGTGAGACTGCAGTGTGGAAGGAAGAACTCTAGTTCCCAGTGTTGGGAGGAAAAAATCAAAGTGCTTTGGGAAGAAGGGAATACAAAGGGAAAGGCAAGAAATCATCATTTCTCAGTGAAGACAATTAGCAGTGATGCTTCAGCACCAAAGCTTGGGAGGAGTTCTGCTGTCATCAGGGTTAATGGATTGTGAGGAATATCCTACAGCAGATTACCTCTAATCAATAATCTCAGTGTGAATTAGGAGGGAAACATCAGAAAACAAAGAGCAGGAGGAAATCAAAGGGTTATTCCCACCTGAACTGCAGCTCTGCACCACAGGCTCTGCTCCCATTTAAGAGGACATGGAATATTGAATATCCTTAACATCACAGCAGTGAGCTAGGCACAAATGCTCCAGCTAGGAGCAATAAAGCCACAGCCCCTTTTTTTCCTCCCAAGGTTTCTCCCTCTGATGCAAAAGGTTTTCTGCTTTCATGGCCCAGGAAGCTCTTGACATTGCAATTACAGAGACCTCCCCCAAGCCCTCATGGGCACACAATCATCTCAGTATTCCTGAGCCACCAGGAATGTGACTGCCTGGAACCTACCACTAATCTTAAATTATGACCTCTGAAGTCTCCTTAAAGTGCCTCACAAAGGGCTTTGAGAAGCTCTTGCATCCACGAGTGCCAATTCCATCCTGGCACTCTGCGTGTCTGTCCTCACATGAGGAGATCCAAGCCCTATCCATGGGCTCTGTCAGGATTTATTACAGTCCCTTTAAGCACAATGACTCCCAGAATGGCCAAGAGTTTTCCCACAGACTCAGCTCCAAAAGAGTTTGGACACAGCAACCTTCTTCCCCTCCTTCTCATGGGGAGGGAGAAAAGTTTAGGGAGATTTGTTTTGGCTCCAGAGTTTTCTTGGTTTCATGGCAAGGAGCTCCCTGCACTTGGCAGTCACCCAAGAGCTGCTCACAAAGGGCACATGGAAGCCTAAATATCCCAAGTGCAAGTGATTTCCCTGCTAAAAGCCAAGAGGAATCTCTGGGAAAAGCTACATGCCTAGAAGTTTGTGGAGAGGAGCTTTGGCCTGAAGTACTGCAGCTTGTTTCAGGCCTGGTCTAAGCGACATTTGGCATTGGATCTCTTCATTCCATTCATACCACGACGGGAGTACTAAATATAGGCTCACCTGAGTTTAATTCCCTTGTAAATGTGTAAGGATAACCATTCCATGCTCCCAAACAGGCCCTGACACAATCCCACTGACAGCCCAGAGTGAGATGCGTGATACTGAAGGATGTTCACACTCACAGCAGCTTCGTGGAGCAAGTTAAACTCCAATGGTTCTACACACAACTAAATCAAGTACCGCTCCATAAAAACCAGTTTTAGTCTCCTCTGTCCACATGAATTCCTCTATGCCAACACTTTCTCTCACTACACTTCTATTGATTTACAGAAGAAAAATGAGCAATTAATGCATCAAGACTTCAACATTCCTGATTCCAGTGGCAATCCAGTGCTTTGTCCCCACAGCAGGACACTTGGCTACCACCATATCAACACAGAATCAAGATTACAGAGCTCCAAAACCAACCTATAACCCATCACATGTGCTAAAACACTTGACAAAACCCACCCAGATCCCTTTGAAGCCTCTCAGTTTGCTCCTGCTCCTCCAGGTGACTTGTGGCCTTGCTGCTCTTCTCTCTTATCATTTCAGTCTGCTGATTTGACTTTGTGGCAAATAAAGGCAGGGTAAAAGGCAAGAGAAAAAGAGCAGGATGATATGATTCATGTTCCTAATGGGGAAGTTCAAAAGCTTTACCTTAAGACCAAACCAGAAGCAACTCCTGAGGGCCTAAAGGGAAATTCTCTTAGCCTCAAGACTACGAAGAGAATTTTAATGACAGCAAGTGTTGAAAATATTTAGATGCTGTAGAAAGGAAGGTGATTGTCAAACATCCAGCTCAGAAGGAGTTGTTAGGGGAGAGAGAAGGGAATTTTCCTGCAGCTGATTACAGACTCCCTGTGTAGTGCCTGAGATGTGCTACAAGCACAAAGACCAACTTAAGCATCACAGGAACATCCCCAACCCCCTGACAAGATCAAGGCTCTATTGTCCAGGCTTGCACACATAGGAAAGTGCTTCTTCAGTCAGGATGAAAAGTGATTTCAAGCATTTTGCCTGTTCTATGTTGGGACAAAACCCACACAAACTGAAAGGTCAGACCTGGAGGGTGAGAGACAGCACAACCATCAGAGTGGCCACAGCAGATTTGCCTCTTCCAGGGTCATGTTCCCATTTCCTCACCCTCATCCACCACCACGGGGCTGGATCTCCCCTGCAGCACTCAGACAAGCTGTTAGGATCTGACTCCCACCCAGATCTCCCCAAATCCCAGCTGAACACCACACCAACAGATGGTTAGGCTGTTTGCAGGTTGAGTGGCTTTTTCCTGGCAAACATTTAGCCTGGAAAAAAACCCCAACAAAATCTCTTCCTAAAGTTTCTTGAAAATTAACAGAAGTTCTAAGCTTGGGAGGAGTTTTTCAGCTAAAAATATTTAACTGAGAAGGTTTTCGCAAGGTTAGCAACACATGTACACAAGCAGCTTGTCCTGAGCATTCAGACAGAGCAGGAAGCTGGAATGTCTCATGGAAAAATGAAGGAATTTGTCTGGATGTCCCAACAGAAGTCACGACTAGAAAGCAAGTCCCTTCCAAGGATCTCTGCCATGTCCTCTCTTACCAAGAGACTCATCTGCAGATAATTTGCAGGTGAAGAACCTCAGCAGAGAAGACATTGTGAGTCTGAGGGAAAATCCTAACACCACATATAAAGAAGCTTAAAAAAAAAAGGAAAAATCATCCAGCTCTGCCACCTAAGGTGATTCTGCCCCTCTGCTCATCTCTGTGAGGCCCCACCTGGAGTGCTGCACACAGCTCTGGTGTCCCCAGCTGCAGAAGGACATGGAACTGTTGGGGCAGGGCCAGAGGAGGCCATGGAGCTGAGCACTGGAGCACCTTCCCTATGAGAACTGTGAAACTATGAAGCTCATCTGCCTTTCGGAGAAAACAAACATGAACAACCATCAGCCACACTATGAGAGGCAATTTATGTTGCTAAATTCTGCTTGCAAAGGCTTCAGGAGAATTCACCCCTCTGGCACCTCCAACTTCCTCCTCACAGGTGGTGCAATGTCACTTGCTGCCTGCAGAGCTCTTTGTGGTGGAGAAAATCAACTGTGTTGTTATTCTCAGTTTGAAACATCTTTTGGCATAAAATACGGGGAGTTATTTCCTCAAGGATGTGTTCTCTGCTTAGAATCAGAGAATTTAAGGGGTTGGAATAGAGCTCAGAGATCATCCAGCCACAACCCCTGCCCTGGGCAGGGACACCTCCCACCAGAGCAGATTGCTCAAGACTACAGCCAACCTGGAATGAAACACTGCCAGGGCTGGGGCAGCCACAGCCTCCCTGGGCAACCTGTGCCACTGTCTCAGCACCCTCACAGCAAAAAAACTTCTAAGATCTCATCTCAATTTCCCTCTTTCCATTTCTCCCCATTGCTCCTTGTCCTGTCCCTGCAGCTTCTAACCCAGAGTCCCTCTGCAGCTTCCCTGGAGCCCCTTCAGCTCCTGGCAGGTTGCTCTGATGTCTCCAATCTGAAAATAGATTAGAATAAACCTGTTTAAAACTCTTCAGCTTCCCCAGGATGGGTCAATGTTTGATTGCAGTGGTGGCACCAGGAGTTCCTTCCTTCCCAATCAGATTAGGACACAATCAGTGTCACTCTGACATCAGATAACAAGAGCCACAACTCCAGCTCTGCTCTGCTGATTACTGTGCAAGTCATTTGCATGTTCAGACAGGAAGAACACAACATGTACAAGCATCAGGGCCCTCATTTTCCTAGCCATCATTAGCTAATTCAGGGTGAGAACGTGGGCCCAGGGTGAGCCCTTCTGATTTGCACTGCCACAGAGCTTTGCTTGAGGGTGTTCTGGCACCTCATGTGGGGCTGGACAGTCCGAGGAGCAGCAGGAAATGGTTTAAAATCACTTAAAACCATGAGCTATGAAGGATTTCACTGAATCTCAGAATCAATGAGGTTGGAAAAGATCTCTGAGATCATCAAGTCCAACCCACGACCTAACACCATCACGGCAACTAGACCATGGCACTAAATGCCATGTCTAGTCTCTCCTT